CGCCCGCGCCATGCCTGCGGCTGGAGGCGCGTGTGCCCCTTGGGCAGCGGCACAGGGCGTTTTCCGTGCGGTGAGTTTTCCAGACTCTGCCCTAGGGTGGGTATCGCTCGCAGCGGTGGGGGGGGGCGTGCAAGCTTTGCACCACCTCTGGAGGACAGGGTCAGCTCTACAGATAAGATCATGCTCAAAGCCCTCACCCCACGCTGCCGCCCCCCGGGCTGCCTGCCGGGCACGCTGCGGCCAGGGCCGCGCTGTACCTGCTCCTCGGTGAGCCGAAAAGCCTTCTGAAAGTCGAAGATATTTGCCGAGCGTGGCACCACGGCTCCGATGAGCGCTTCCCCGCTGACCACGATTCTGGAAGGAGCAAGGAAAAACGGGACGTCACTGCGGGGCGCCCGACCCCGCAGCGTCCCCCTGCCCCTGCTCCCTGTGGCCGTCCCCTGCATTGCCCGCCGCTGCGTCCGAAACGGGGGGCGCAGCCCACCCGTATGCTTTTACAGGGACTGACGAGTGACGGGCAGCACATTCGTTTCCTGCAGCAAAGATACTCCCGGAAAGCCGCAGCACGGTCGCTGCTACGTGTGGCTTGCCCTTAGCCGCGGGCTGGCTGTGCAGAGCGCTGCACCCTCCTGCTGTCTGCTGGGTTTAGCTGCTTGCTTTCCCCGGCGCTCACACACCTCCCTCCCTCTGAGCATGCTGGCCTCGGTAGCCGACAGTAAACGATTTGCCTCTGAACCGGCTGCAAGGTTCAAAGCAGTAGTTGGATGCGAAACTAGCAGGACGCCCAGCACGGGCATCCCCTGAAGTCCTGCTTTGACCCAGAAGTTCATTCTGTAAGAGGCTGACTTTGGGATGTAATAAGCTAGTATATTCATTGTCCGGGCTGAGGAAACTGCTCGTATCAGCAGGGCTTGTCACATGCCCTGGGACCTTCCTCGCAGACCCCGATTTTGCATTTGTCAATCCAAATCATGAACGCGCAAATCATGGTGCAAAGCAGGCAAGAGTGAGCCAGGCATCTGTGCAGAGGGGCCTTTCCCTTGGCCTTTGCAGAGCTCTCTGAGGATGAGAAGTGCTCTGTAATTGCATGTTCATCCACATCAGAGCTGCAGCAAAGGCCAGCAAACCTGCAAAATGCTTTGCGCTCCTGATCAGAAGTGTTTGGATCTCGGTTCTCACTGGAATCTCTTTAATCCTTGAAAGCCTCACGTGCAGGTTGCTTTACGGGATAGGCATTGACACTTTTCCATATATTTTTTTGTAAGGGAGATATAAACAGGGGAGGGTTTACTGTTCTGCTTACCTATCGTATGGGCAGCTTGTGCTTCTCTTAACTGTTGTGTCGTTTTTGTCACCGATTAGCCAGACAAATTCAGGGTGAGTCCTCAGTCGGATGTTCTTCCACTGCTTTTTTGGGACGTAGCTACAGCCAGCATTGAAGTCCCCCATGAAGATGAAGTTCTGGAAGGAGAACAGCTCTTTGAAATAAGACCAGCAATGACTTTTATGGCCAACAAACGTTGCTAATAGCCATTACAGTTCAAAAAGTGCGAGCTTAGGTCAACAGCTTGCAGAAGCTGACCGTGGAAGCGCATGCTAGTAGGTTAACATAAGAGCAGGAAAGAAGTAGTACTTTTCCTGGAAGACATTCTGTTTCTCTGATATAACGTATGTATTGACATGCTTTAGTATGGCTGTGCTGCTCAACATTTGCCTGCCTTGGCAAGCTCCCTCCCGTCGCATACCTAGAGCAAGGCAGCCCGACTTGGAGCCAGGCGGAGAAGAGAAGGGCGAGGGGACGGACCGTTTTGAGGAACTGGCTGTTTCATCAGGAGATCAAGTTTACTGAGTCAGAGCTGGAGCACTCAACGAAAATATGTCAAAGAGATACTACAAATGTAGGGCTTTTATCAACTGTTTTAAGATCACCAAACTCTGAATGTTGTCCCGGGGGAATCAGTGTCAACGCTGATACAGTAACATAAATATCTTAACTGACCTCAGTGGTCCAGCGCTGCTTTACATCTAAATACACATCGTAGAGCTCATCAATCTCCCGCACCGCTGTTTCTGGTGTGGTGTGCTGAGGGATTACAGCAAACTCTTTGACAGCTTAAATACAAGGCAAAACAGGAAAAAAAAAAACAGTTAAACACATAATGAATCACAAAGCCAGAAAATGTGCCTGACTTGAAAGCAAGTGTTTTTCTGAAGGAAAAGCAGCTTACGTTTTGGCAGTGCAGCCAAGGACACGGGCTGTGCGGTTGCACCGTTCTCTGCGCTAGCTGGCGAAACGATAACGTGCCGCGTGCCGCCTTAGCGCAAAGCAAGCCGCGCTCAGAAATCACAGCGATGGCTGCTCCCACGGCCGCGCCGGCAGCTCGGAGCGCGTTCGCCCAGCGTTACTGAGCAGGAGGCAGAGGCGGCGGCGGGCCGGTTCGCCTCGCCGCGTGGGGCTGCGCGCCGGGGGGGAGTGGAACCAGATGATGAAGGGCTCTCTGGAGAAGGCGTCCTCGTCCCCAGGCTGGAGATCAGGATACTGATAGATTTGCTTCACCGACACCAGATTTGGCCTGCAATGTAAGTCAGACTGTAAATAAACTAGCAGCTGTCCCGCGGACAAATTGCAGCTCACCGGCTCTCGGTGACGACCGCCTTGACCAGGCTACAGGGTGCGAAAGGCCGAATGAAGTGGCAGAGCTTTGCCAGGGCGGGAGCCAGGCGAGGGGGGCCGTGGCCAGCGCTCACCTACCTGTAGATGAACGCGTACTGCTCCTTGTAGGTCTTTCTTCCCAGCCTTTTGCTGACCACATAGCTGTATTCTTCTTTTGGCCCTTTTGGCCATCTGGAAAGAAAATGGTTACTATTAGTTTATTTCTGTGTTCATGGAGGGCTGAGAAGGAGTTAAATTCAAATGAGTCATATATGAGTGCCTGTGCACAAGGGTATGAGACATAGACTGCTGGCTTTCAGAGGCGGCTTACAGAGACAAAAAATCCTCTAAGGATCAGTTGCATGTGGGATATATTCTTCATTGCTTTCTCCTTTATGCTACGCCCTCCATGCCTTTCGCAGCCTCGGGCAGTTTGTCTGTTCTTTAGATGGTCTCACTTCTGTTCAGGTAAATGCTGTTGTTTTCCCTAGACTAGTAAGTCGCAGGTAGGTAATCTTCAGTGTTATCTCTAGTTAAGCAAAACAATTGTTAATTGTGCAGAAAGGCAAACTGCGCTTCATGCTCTGGTGTTAGCCAGGTGAGGGCTCTTTGTTTCGTTCCCTTCTCCTCTGAGCATTAATCTTTAACAAATGGAATCTACCTTAGTTGTATTGATTTTAAAAATACGTTTCCTACGCTGCTCTGGAGCTGGCTTAGCCACTGGGCTTCTGCGAGCTGCCAGAGAGTCTGGTCCTCTCCCGATTGCTGGGATGGACTCCAGCTCAGATCTTTTGGTCCCAGGGCCCAGTCCTGCTGGTAAGTGGGGCTAAGCAGACCACGGCACTGGGCTTTTGCCTCTGTTCACCTCTCCCAGTATCTGACTACTGAAAGATTTTTTTTTTCACCTTCTTAAGAAAGAGCTAGCGCTGACCATTGTCAGAGGTGGGATCTGGGCAGTGAGGAAAATCATTCCCGACCCAGCCAGGCTCCGGTTTCGCCCTGTGGGTTCCTATGCCTTGCAGCACACGCTTGCATTAATCCACACGGGTGAAGTATCCCCCTTACCTGTTCAGCCTCTCCATCAGAAAGGGGCATATTCTGTTGTTGTTTTCCTTTATTTCCATCAGTAGCATGATGTCACAGCGAGAAATGACCTGCAACCGGAAAGAGCAAAAAGCAAGTCTGTGCTCTGTATCTTTTGGAGGATTAGAAAGATGTTAAGAAGACCTGGCTCTTTGTGTGAAGGGAGGAGTGCAGTGCACATCGCCTGCATGCAGCGGGGCCGGCTCACCCTGCACGGGGAGCGGGGTGGCCACCGGGGTGGCTGTGGCCCCCGCAAAGGCCTTCTCCTTTCCCAGCCGTCCAACAAGCTGGCGCAGGAACTGGGAGAGGGAGCCCGGGAACCGAGTGGTTTGGGTTTTGGTTGCAAACTTCTGCACCTGCCCAGCAGAATGAAGTTTGCAGGGGAAGGGGCAGCATCAGCCTCCGTTAAAGCCTCTCGTTTCCTCCTGAGGGTTCTGCTCCCCTCCCTGCCTCAACCCGCCGTCGTGATTTTATCTTTCTTCCTGAGCCGAGCCGAGCTGTGCCAAGCCGATCCGATGTGAGTCAGCTCTCCCCGCCGGCCGCCACAGCTGCACTGCATGCAGGATGCTCAGGGGCTTATTTCTGCCCCAGGTTTTGTCCCTCATCAAACTTTGTGGGTGTCATTTGTGGGAAAAAAAGCACTCGTGTTGCCCCCAAAGCAGTAAAGCTGAAGGTGATATGAACTGCTGTTGTGCCAAGGTGCTTGGAAATGGCATTGCTATTAGGCATCTCCAAAAATTGTGGAAAATGAATATATTGCCCAGAATATAGTTTGTTATCCATAGCCCAGGCAGTACAGGAAGGACAGTCCAGAAATGCAGAGCTGATACCTTTATAACAAAAACCAAGCAAAACCCTCTTCTCCAGTTGGTTGCAATGAAAGAAATAAAACAAAAATAAATGGCAACCTTCGTTACTGCTGGGATTTGGTGCGCAGAGTCATGCTGCTCACACTGTGTGTCCGGTTACTGCGGCATCTTGGATGACACTTTCAAGCTTTAAGTAAGTCCAAAACATGATCATTTCACTTTAAAAATGAAGTTATCTTTCAGTTGCTGCAGAGGAAGTGTGCTGGTGAGTTTTGTCTAAATAAATTAGCAATTAGACTTTTTAATTTTGTATCACATGCTAAGATGATACTCACCACTATCCTGAGAATACATCTAATTAGAGAAGGTTATTTCAGAATAATTAGCACAAAACCAAGGTAAATAATGTATCACAAAATAAAGCTCTGTGAGTTCAGAGTGAAAGCTATTTTTACTACGCCCAAAGTTTTTCATCCTTTCCTAACTAAATTTCCAAAGGAAACAGCAAGTGTTGTTTCTGCTGTATTCTCACGCAGGCTGAGATAGCTGCAAACACACTACTCAACTACAGGCTGATTTTGCATTAGCAGTGTAAAATAACTTTCATCGTTTAGTCATTCTTTAACTTGAAATTCGCCTGTGAAAAGACAAATGAACTGCAAGATTGTATAGATAAGAATCCCTTGAAAAGCTTAGTTTCCATCTTATCTAGGCAAATGGACGTACCTTTACAATGACATCGATGACTTCTTGTCTGGCTATTTTTGCTTCTCCAAAGGACTTCACGTTGAAGGAGCAGATTTTTAGGCTCAGAGACGTGTTGAAGTAGAAGAGCGAAAGGACGACGATGAGCAGCATCTTTCAGGCCTCGGGTAGACTGAGCTGAAGGGAGCGTGCCTATAAATAGGTATGCGTGTATGTCTGTGTGTCCGTCCCGCCGTCGGCCACCGGTTCAGAGTGCAAAACGAACGGCGCTGGCTGTGTCAATCATGAACAACCAAACAGGAATTGCTGGTTTCCTCCTTTTCCCTCACTTCCATCTTTCCGCACAGAGAGGCAGTGGGGACTTGCACTTCCGCCTTGAGGGACGTCCCGCCGTCGGCCACCGGTTCAGAGTGCAAAACGAACGGCGCTGGCTGTGTCAATCATGAACAACCAAACAGGAATTGCTGGTTTCCTCCTTTTCCCTCACTTCCATCTTTCCGCACAGAGAGGCAGTGGGGACTTGCACTTCCGCCTTGAGGGATCAGCGGGGTTTTTGAGTCAGTTTCCACTTTCTGGAGGTGCAACCGCTCCGTTTTGGCATCCCGCCCTCGTGGGGAGAAATGCTGCTGGTGGGATGCCTGGTACGTCTGGGGCAGCAGCCGCCGCCTGCCTGGGGCTGAGCCGGCCCGGGGCCGGGGCCACTGTGGGACAACCCTGGCGCCGGCAG